TCTGGTGCATGTTCTCATTCATTATGAATAAGCCCAACTGGTTCAACTACACGGTGTTCCTGTTTGTGGTGGTTTGCTCAAGTGCACTGAGACATTCTAACAGCTTTACATACGCTGTATCGTTTAAGCCCGACAATACCACTATTTGGTATGTATGTATGCATGTATTACTATTTACCACCCATTTGTAGTTTGTTGTACTGTGGTAGCTGGGTGTTGCTGTGATGCTGGAAACTATGCCACAGGGATTAAAATACTAGCAGGGTAGCCCATGGTGGACAGGTTTCATTGTAACCTGTAGACTGAGATAGACTAGGAAGGAAGGCCTGGTGATCTACTTCCAAAAATTAACCAGTGAAAACCTTATGGATCACAATAGAACACTGTCTGACTTTCTTGCTTTGGATGCATCATCAGAAGGGATCAATGTTTAGAAGAGGATATCATGTTTGGTGAAATAGAGGGCCAGCAACTGTGAGAAAGACCCTTGTTTAGACAGATTGGCACAACAGCTGCACTGATGGACTGGCAAATGTTGTCCTAGTTACCCAGTGCTGCTGTAACAGAAATACAGTCTGCAGTAAGGATTACATCTCAATATAAAGAAAACAAAAATCCTCACAACTGGACCAATAAGCAGCATCATGATAAACAGAGAAAAGATTGAAGTTGTCAAAGACTTCACATTGGTTGGTTCTACAATCAATGCCAATGGAAGCAGCAGTAGGACACCAGACGACATATAAACCAAAAACCAAACTCACTGCCATGGAGTCGGACTCGACTCATAGTGACCTGTCCTTGGGTTTCCAAGGTAGTATCACTATGGAAGTAGATTGCCTAATGTATAGCACTGGCCAAATCACTGCAAAGGACCTCTTTCAAGTGCTGAAGAGTAAAGATGTCTCCTTGAGGACTAAGGTGCGGCTGACCCAAGCCATGGTATTTTCAATCATCTCATATGCATGTGAGAGCTGGACAATGAATAAGGAAGACCAAAGAAGAGTCGACGCTTTTAAGTTGTGTTGGCGAAGAATGCTGAAAGTACCATGGACTGCTAAAAGAACTAATAAATCCGTCTTTGAGGAAGTGCAGCTGGAATGCTCCTTGGTAGTGAGAATGGCCAGATTTCATCTCACCTGCTTTGGTCATGTTGTCAGAAGGGTCCCTTCACTGGAGAAGGATGTCATGCTTGGTAAGGTGGAGGGTCGATGAAAGGGGAAAGGCCTCAACGAGATGGAGTGACACAGTGGCAGTGGCGATGGGCTCAAGTATAACAAGGATTGTGGATCTGGTGCAGGCCTAGGTGGTGTTTCGTTCTGCTGTGCATAGGGTTGCTATGAGTTGGAAACAACTCGATGGCACCTAACAACATAACACCACCACAAATAGGTGGCTTTAACAGCCACTTTGAAATTTATTTTCTCACCGTTTAGGAGGCAAGAAGTCTGAATTCAGGGTGCTGGCTCTAGGAGAGGATTTGCTCTCTTTGCTAGTTCTGGAGAAAAGTCTTTATCTCTTTGAGCTTCTGTTCCTGGGACATCTTCATGTGACTTGGTATCTCTCTTCCCCCATCTCTGCTTGCTTTTATAATCTATTTTATATCTCAAAAGACATTGGCTCAAGCTATAGTAACAGAACTATAACAACCCATTCCCAAATGGGATTAGAACCACAGGCATAGAGATTAGGATTTACAAACACATATTTTTTTGGGGAAACGTTTCAATCCAAAACACATGTCAACAATTTTGATAATGACACTAGACCAGGTAACGTTTCATTCTGTTGTACATAAGGTTGTCATGACAGAGTCGAATCCTATCTTTTTATCTTTTATTATTATCCCATTTTGCAACTAGATAGGCAAATAAATATCTCCAATATCATAGAATTAATAAATGGCAAGAATAACATTCTGATCTAGGCCCAATGATCATCAAGACACAAAGAACTACTTGTAGTTCTTCAGATCCTGCTATTCTCCTGGAAGTTTCCCTAAGATTAGGTGTTCCCTGAGGACAGAGACCAGGACAGAGAGTCTGGCACAGCAAAAAACAATAATAATAGTAAGATAAAAACAAAACAAAACAAAAAAAGAGTAAAACCCTCAACCACAAACAAAACATGACTTACCTGGCACCAAGGCCTATTTTCTCAACCTCTGTGCCAATACCCAGTAACCCATTGCCACGGACGCATAGCAGCCCTATTGGACAGAGTAGAACTGCCTCATAGGATTTCCAAGACTGTCAACATGTATAGAAGCAGACTGCCTCCTGCTCCTCCTGTGAAGGCCTTTCAGCTGTCGACCTTTTGATTAGTAGCCAAATGCTTTAACTGCTGCACCACCAAAACAAAACAAAAAACCCAACAGATTACCAAAATCAATATTGCATGCCTACCAGTGTCTTGGTCCACACCACCTTCATATGGTCAGAAGACAGGCAGAGTAAGAAAAAAGGTTTAAAGGAAAAGCTGACTTTTAAAGGGGAAAAAAGAATACTGACTTGTGAGCAAACTACCTTAGCCTGGCCTCTATTGATATTAATAGCTTGATCTAAGGTATATACAAGGAGCTCTGGTACCATAGTGCCTAAGGCACTTGACTGCTAACCAGAAGGCTGGTGATTCAAACCCACCAGCCACTCCTCGGAAGAAAGGTTGGGCAATCTACTTCCGTAGTGATACTGCCTTGGCAACCCAAGGAGGGGTCGCTATGAGTCGGGGCCGGCCGACTCGACGGCACATAACAACAACAGAGTATATACACCAAATTCTTTTGCATTGTTTCGGTTCAAGGCTTTTTTACCACGAGCCCTTAAAAGTTCTTTCCACTGTAACTCTTGATATCTTGACCTGCTGCTGTATGGAATGACCATTATCTGGAAAGCTCCACCACTCTTTTTCGCCCATGAAACCCATGAATTCTCCCTCCCATTCGCTTTTCCAAATCTGAGCCTTCATATTCAATCTCCCTCCTCGTTGTCCTCAAAAAACATTTTAAATAATTACTATGTAACATTCACATTACTTTGGTATCCGTGTAAGGGTTTGCGAGTCACATGAGACTGGGAGCTTTGTGAATCAGCTCTATATTATTTTTTTTGTGGAACTCTCTTTCATACCAACGTGGCCTTGAGTTTGGCCCTCAGTTAATGTGTTGAGAATTTATCCTTCTGGAGCGTCATAGTCACTGTCGTTCTGTTCCGCCGAGCACCCCAGAAAGCACGGATCCTAGAATTACTGTCCGCAGCAGTCACTGCACTTTGGGACCTCTGTGGACCGGCAAACACGACTAACAGATGATTTCACCTTCGAGCGCTGCTAAAATGCTGGCGCAGAGCTGGTCTTTCTGGTCTTCCAAATGCATGCTCCAAATTCCAATCAAATCCTGGAAAGTGACCTCCTCCAGGTTTCTCCAACCCGCCCCCCGCCCTTGGTTCTTATTGTGACTAGTTTGAATGGTCTGCAGTACTGAAAGAGAAATTGAGGCGGAATAGCCAATCCCCTTTCGGGGAACCCGGAAGGGGCGGATCCCAAGTGTGTCATTGACAAGGCGCCGCGGGATTGGCTGGCCTAGACCTAGTCGACAGTGGCGGGAGTTTTCGGATGTGTTGGCGGCGGCTCCTCCGGCAGCGGTTGGACTGGCCGCTTTGACTACGTGGGCGGCGGAGCAGGGTAGGCGAGTCTGTGGCGGGACCAGCAGTCATTGTCTCTGTTCTCGCTGTGGCTTGCGGAGCGGTTGCCTTCATTCCGACCCCCGGTATTGCTGCGAAGGATGGAGCGACACCAGCAGCACCTGCATCACTGCTCCAAGGCCAGGGCCCCCTACCCGTCCTCCGCCTCTCTCCGCGGCTGCCGGGACAGCAAAATGCAGCGCAGGAAAGGTCTCCAGCATCCTCTTGCTCCTGGCGGATCGGAGGAGCCTGGGGAGAAGCGCCCGAAGTTTGTAAGTGTGTCCTGCGAACGGGCTGCGGGTCAGGTTCAGGGTCCTTCAAGTTCATTCTCTTATGTCTTGGCTGACAGCTTAAGGTGGCCCCGAGCTTGACCCTGGGGAGCTAAATATTGATCTGTTTCCAGAGCTGCCACACCTTTTATAGGTTGATGACAACAGAGTTCCATTCTATTTGGATACTCTGAGAAATATATTGATCATCATGTTGCACCAAGTTTCTTAAGGATGATGTGAAAAAGTAATCAAGTGAATATGTATTGACGTCATCTAGGTGGACATTGCATTTTTAAAATTGACCACTCCCTTCGATGTAAAAGGATATGAGACATACCAAAGAGAACTTTTAGTAATGTTTCTTTTCCTGCTTAATATTTTAATGCAAGAACAACTGTTTAGCGTAGATAGAACTTTCCAAGCTGAAGCAGCTCTATTAGTTGGCGGGCCATGCAGTCACTACTAAAGAATGTTTAGTTTGGAAAGAAGTCTAAGTATTTGAAACTCGCTATTCTGGTTGCTTCTCTTATTTACTTTAACACTCAACAGAAATGCCTTAACATCTTGTAAATCATTTTGCTGGGTTGGTGTTAGGGAAAGAATATCCAAGGATGTGATAATCATATGTCTGTAAATATATCACTTAGTGGGTTGACTGATTTGTGGTGAGTTCAACAGAATTGAAAATTTAATACACCTTTATTTTACTTACTAAACTTGAAAAACATTTTTTAGTGGTAGGTGAAATTTTACAGTACAGTATGTGTCTTCTCTGTAGACAAGTAAAAACTGAAAAATTTAACTCATGATTCATAAATTTAGACAATAAAAGTTTGTAAACCAGGAGTGAATCACTAAATATAAGTTTTAGTTAAAAATGACAGTTGACTAAAACTCAGAGCAGAGCTATAAAATGTACCAGAACACTAAAAATGAGGAATGACATGGATTAATTATGCTAGATTAAGAAGCAAGATGGCCATAGGAATGGCAAACTTTTACTCATTTTCAGTTATTTTGCAGGAGGATCAAATGTGTCCTTGACAACTATTATCATGACAGAGCTGAAGAATAACTGTTGTTATTATCTGCCGTCGAGTCGGCCCCCAACTCATAGTGACCCCTCCTTGGGTTTCCGAGGCAGTATCACTACAGAAGTAGGATTGCCCAACCTTCCTTCCTAGGAGTGACTGGTGGGTTTGAACTGCCAGCTGTCTGGTTAGTAGTCAAGTGCCTTAGGCACTATGCTACCAGAGGTCCTGAAGAATAACTAGGGTAAGGTTAACTTGGCAGTGAAAGAGCTGCTCAATATGAGAAGAATCCATTGGGGCAATGGCTTTTGCTCCTTTTACAGACTACTCTCTGGATTACCCACATCCCAGTTTTTCTCTGACTCCTCTGGTC